TAGAATTATTTAAGTTATGTAAACGTAATTCGTAGTTTGGTGTAACAAGAAATCATATTTTATATCCCAATGATAATAAACTTACCATTTTATACAAGGTGTCCACAAATTTAAACTAATCAAATAAGAACTTTAAGTGGCTATAACTTGGTTAATTTAAATACAACCCCATATTTTTAAGCTTACCAGGAAATGCAATTTTTAATTACCTATCAAATGGTACTAGGATCTTGATAACTAAGTTTTTGCCTTTTTACAAAATACACCAAATAACGGTTCTGTGCATTATTTGGTGTTTTTTTAAATTAAAAGGTTAAATAACATATCAACAAGAACATAAAACAAAGGCAAATTATTTATAACAAATGTTCGAAATTGACCGTCCATTTCCAGGCACTTGTAAATTCTTTTTTCAAAACCACTGCTAACTCTCGACAACATTTGCAGAGTAAGAGTTTTAAAAGCGTCTCTTATGCGTGATTTCATATCGTGTAAAGTTGTCGGAAGCGTATGGTAGACAATTCCTTTTATGTACCCCCACAAAAATAAATCTAGTGGAGTTAAGGCCGGAGATCTGGGGAGCCAATTTTGAAACCCATTCCTGCCAATCCACCTGTTTTGAAAGTTGGCATTTAAAAATTGCCGAACTTCGCAGTGATAATGAGGCGGAGCTCCATCCAATTGAAGCCACATGTTGGTTCGAATATTGAAAGGGACCTCTTCTAATAATATTGAGAGATGGTTTATTAGAAACTGGAGAAACATCAAACCATTTAGATGTCCTTAAAAAAATAGGAACCAATTAAATATTGGCTCAGTATTCCACCCCACACATTAACTGACCACTTATTTTGATTTTTTATGACCCTGTATGTGCGCGGATTCGTATCAGAATAATAATGAAAGTTGTGTCTAATCATGAGACCATTGTTATAAAAAGTACATTCATCACTAAATAACACATTTTCCAAAAACTTTAATTTTTTGCCACTTTATCTAACACCCACATGCAAAACTCAGATCGGTTTTCAAAGTCATTTCCATAACGTTCTTGGCAAAGCTGAATTTTATAAAGATAAAAGTTGTGCTTTTTGATAATTCTGGAAATTCTTGATTGGCTAATGTTAGTACTTTTGGATATTAGACTTTGAGTAACATTGGGATTTTCGATAACTGAACCAATAACCGTGAAAACATTTTCTTCATCTTCAGTGACAAATTTCCCTGTAGTGGGTTTTTGGTATTATACACTAGTAGTATAGTATACACTCCCACTTTCCACAAATTGGTGTAATAAGCGCTTAAAAACTGTTGGCTTAGGAAGATTTCTTTCATGAGACTTTTGAGCATAAACTCGAGAAGCCAATAAACAATTTTTATGACATTTATGACAGACTCCAAGGGTGAAAATCATGTCAATACGCTCCTCTCTTAGATTATTCTTCATTTTCACTTAGCAACACAATAGTAATATTAAAATAACGATCAACACCTCTATAATTACAAAAAACAATACCACTCTAGCTATCAAAAAGAGACTTTGCAGTCTAAACTGACAAATAAAATAAATGATTTGAGATGTGTAAATGGCATAGGCAACTTAGATACATTGGAACCTTAAATTAAACAACACCAAATGGTGCACAGAACGACTATTTGACGTATTTTGTAAAAAGGCAAAAACTTAGCTATTAACCTCCTAATACAATTCGATAGGTAATTAAAAATTGCATTTCCTGGTAAGTTAACAAATATGGGGTTGTATTTAAATTAATCAAGTTAGAGCCACGTTCTTATTTGATTAGTTTAAATTTGTGGACATTCTGTATAACATGGTATGTTTATTATCATTGGGATATAAAATATTATACTTTGTTATACTTCACTATAAATTACGCTTACATAACTTAAATAATTCTAAAGTATTTGACACGTAAAAATTAGATAAGATTTTGATTAAATCCGTAATATTTAAAAAACCTTATTAAAACATACACTTATTTTGTTCCACGAATCCAAAAATACAATAATATACAGGACATTCCATTAAAAAAACGCAACTATGATACTTTTAGAGCTTTTGGGACACCCTGTACATTACGCAAATATTTTTAAAATGTGTGCCCGGTAGGCGTCGGACAATTCATCAAATAATACTTTTTAAAAATCAAACGGTTTAGCCGCAAACTTTCGTGCCGTATAGCGTGAATAACCCTGTATAGTGCAATTAAGATAATCTTCACGGACGACACGTCTATGGTGGTGGTGTTGGTGGAGTGGTATGTGGTGGTGTGGTATGTGGTGGTGGTTGTAGTGTGGTCTGCGGGAGCGCTGTGGAACTCCAAGAAAAGGTGAGCGTTTCCATTGGTGAGTTTGCGCAATGCTTTAATGCGAAATCCTAAATCCCAAATATCGATAAGACTGTTTATGTCAATTTTAGAGCATCTAAATTAAAAGTCTTAGTGTCTCTTCCCGGCCTGAGCAAATCTAATGAGATGAAGTTTCTGGGCTTGTACTTGGACAATCAACTTACTTGGGAATCTCATATAAATTACATGTGTAAGAAAACCAGTAAAAGTAATTTTGCCATTTCTCGTTTAAAGCGCAACTTTACAAAGGACGATATTTTAAACGTACACTACTCACTGATATATAGGAATCTCAACTACAATGCATACCTGTCAGGCGACAGTCAGCATGCACTGAGGGTTTTTATGGAGCAGCAACGAAGAATAATCTTTGGGATTGGACCAAGAGAGAGTTTCCGACATATTTTTATACAAAGGAAAATACTGACTTTTCCATCATCCTATATCTTGCAATAATTTATCAGTAATATTGTAACGGAAATGGGCTGGGGTACTCACGTTTGGAATGGGGGGATCGAAATTCATGGTATTTCAGTAAATGGGAGCACCCTTTGCGTCCCTATTTACTGTCAAATATGACACTGACAAGCGGGAAATTTCGCACTTGGGCTGGATATTTTGATAACCGTCTGGCTTACCTGGAGGAAACTATATAAGCGGTGACGAGAACCACAAAGGGGAAGTGAAGTGACGGCAGCGACCCGGTGCAGAAGAGGTTAAACCATGCGAATCGGAAGACCGAGTTTTCCGTTTGTTATTGTTATTGTTTGTGAAGTTGACGGTAATTTTGAAGTTAGTTTGTTCCTGTTCCGCATTTAAAGTTATGCCGAGTTGAATAAAACTTGGAAGCTGAAGAAAGAGTTTGATACCCGGCCATCCACGGTACAGTATATATAATATATATACAATAATTTTAATAAGAGCGAAGCTTTGTAAATTGGATAGGAACATAGACACTGAAGCTTACTATACCAGAAATGCGCAGGCATTTGTAACGAACCATGATAGGCTGAGCGTGTATAGGAAGTCCCTCATTAACATGGTAAGTACACATTTCAAACAGCCGCCTTTGGGGTACGTTTGATAGAGGCTTAATGTTGGGGAAAGGGTATTATTCTGTTGAAGAGATCTTTTCTGATGTGATCTGTGATTGAGCCATGTAGCCGATGTTAGTATTTATTTGGTGTCATGGATATTTTCTTTTAACTAAAAACTAACCTTTTTGATAAGGATGCTAGTTTACCTCAACTTTGGGATATGGTCTAGAAGAAGAAATCACTAGAAGAATTGGCCTAGGTTACTAAAACAGTTTACATAGACTCAGTGATGCTCGACTGCTGCGAGCTTTTGTCCATCCATCATGGTCACGAATAAAGCAAAGTTTCATCTCAAAGGATGAGAGATTTCAGGAAACAAATGCGACGTAGCGGAAGGTTCACCTGGGACTGCTGTTCTAGGAATGAGTGTGAGTACAAAATGTTTTTCAGGTGTCAGTGGATTTGCAGACTAGCTACTAAATACAATGGTGACTCCTTCGTATGAACAAACGATATTTCATCCATTAGGTTTTGCAGTGCCTTCCACTACCTGGCCGAAGTTATTACCCGAAAAGACATTCGAGAAAAAATTATCTTGGGATCACCCAGTATATTTGGAAATTGCCAATTTGTTTTGACACTGGCTTCCTGAATTTTGTGACAAATTCTTTGCATCATTTGGCTACAACTAGAAATCGAAGATGGATTCACGGTGGTAGTCCCCCTTCCCAGGTGGCAGCAATTGGACCAATATCTGACGACGTAAGGACGTAATATTTCTGATGTCCGAAAGGCGAAACATTCGGCGCATGCATCTAATATCATGCGTGGAACGGGCAACCATAATCACCTAAACGTGAGATCTGTGCGGACAACTCCCTGTATTTTAATTTTGTCTGGGTATTTGGTGCTGGGGGTTTGAATTTTACTATTATATAATGAATATTAGTACTTAGAAGCAGGATCTCACCTTCATCATGGGAGACTTCAATGCCAAGTTGGGTCAGAGAAGAGTATCAGACCTGATTGGAGAATTTGGGGTGGGTGATAGAATTGACAAGGGCCAGAGCTTCATTCCAATTCTGTCAACAACACAATATGGCGGTAAAAAGTACATGGTTCAAACACCTCCCTCGCCGACTTTATACATGGAGATCAACACGACATACGAGTGTCAAGACAGTCCGAAACTAGATTGGCATAATGGTCAACAGAAGATACCACAACTCGCCCATCAATGATAAGACATTTCCTGGGGCCCAAATTAGAAAGCACACGCTTTATCTCTTGTGAAAAATACTGGAAGGTCGCTGATTTTAATAATAATGCGAGAGAAATAATTTTGAAGGGAACGTCAAGTCTGCTAAGAACTGATGATCAATATGTACTAATGTTAGATGAAGAACTATATGCATTGCGTTTGCTTCGTCGTTATGAAAAAAACCGTTTAAAACATTCGATTAGAAAGTGCTCAAGTGGAGTTACTCCATTAACGTATGATATTTCTTAGTCAGTTCGTACCCTCGGAATTTAACAGAAAGTCTCCAAAAGAATCAGAAATATATTTTTGGAATGCCACAGAATATCGTAATTTGTTGTTATATTTTGGTCCTTTCGTACCCAATTAAACATTTTAGACATAACCGTCTTTGGGCATTTTTTGTTGCTACATGTTGGAATTTCCATACTTATTTATTTTAAATATTAATTTATTTTATTTATTTAGGTACGGACCTCTTAGCTTCATTCCCGAGGTGGAAGGAACAGTTTCTGGGCATTATAAAGGGTTTTGTCCGCAGTCCCGTAAACCCCTACAACAAGTATATCGTAGATTAATTACATAAGAAAAACTTTATTTGCAAAGCTGACGATTAGGAAGTTGGTGACAATTACATATATCAAATCGAATATAAAAATAGTCTATCACAACACACCTAGTGGTTAGGAGTCAATTTAAAAAAAAATAAATACAGAAAATTTACCTTTTCCGTAAATTCTTATTCTGCAGTCAACTCATTTCGTATGACGAATGATGGAACTGTTGTTCAAATTTACAATATTTGCTTAGATTTAATTTAACAAAATTTTCATTATTGGTAAATATTTTCAACACACGAATTATATTCGTATCTTATTAATTCAAAGGGTTTGAATTTTTTTATAAGATCTAATTGAAATGAAGAGATTCAGCATTTCAACATCCCCTTTATTGCTACCAAAACTTTTTTTTTGTTTTTCCAAAGGATTCTCGCAATGAACCATTTATTTCTATGCCGCTACTTTATGAAATTTAAATAGTAATTTTGCAATGCCAGTTTGAAAGCATTTCTCTCGGTTCCCATTTAGTTATTTGGTCTGAGATTCTGAGGTTTAATGTCAAATTATTTTTTCCCTGGGCACTTCAGCGTTGCTTTTATAGTGTTTTTGTTGGTTTAAAGTTTTTTTTATATGCAAATATATATTTTTTTTAATATGTTTTTGTTTCATATATTAAGATATTTATTTTTAAATACGTTTTTGAAATTTTGGCTCTTCACGTTAACTTAACAAATTTATATGTGACTTAACAAGTTTCTTATTCCGTTTGTCTTCATATTATATACCAAGTCCCCAAATCCGCATTTCTACAATTCACTATATTAGGGCATCTGTCCCTATATCAAAATGTACCCTAAAGTCTATTTTAAGCTTTTGCATTCGACATTTAGGCGTCTTTATGACTCGTCATTTTCACGTCTTTCGACGAAAAAAGTAAGTAATTTGTGATCAATTTACCTCCCCTTTCACTAAGCCGTGTGCGCGCTTCGGCTGTATTTGAGATTTCAAAGCTAGATTTTTCAGAACCGTTATATTTTAAGGGCGGGGAGAAAGCACTTTTTACTTGCGTTGTTTATCGCGCTGTACATTTAGAGTTTTGTACCAGTTTGTCCACTGTTAGTTTATTATTACTTTTATTACCTACTTACTTACTTAGTTTATTACCTGCTTAGGCGATTTATAGCGCGACGTGGTAAACCAAAGACTGTGCACAGGGACAATGGTACAATTTAGTGAGTACTTAAAATTGTTTTCAAAGACATCATTGGGATAAGATGATAGCGACTTGTGGTTTTGATACAATTTCATGGTGTTGCAATCCTCCATCTGCAGGTCCAGGACATTCAGATTATAATTATGATTTAAAGTTCACAGCATGAATAGCCGCATCGTGTAAACTTGATTTTAAAATTTAATTTATTCAAGTGGAATAAAGGGTTAAGGTGCTGTGCCTAAATGTTTCAATTCCATCCATTCTGGTCCTGGAACTGGATTAGTCAAAAAACCGAGCCCGGTGCAAAACCAAGCAAAGATGACCTCGCCTCATGATAGTAAATAAATAAAAATCTAAGCTAAAAGAGGCATTCAGCAGCCCATGATTGTACATCCCTACTGCTGACGGAAGTGATTACTATGTGATGAAAGCCTTCTCGTGACGTTTAAAACACCTGCTTAAAAGGGCTAATTTTAACAACTAAATTTCAAGTATTGAAACCCCTCTGACAAGTTTTTATTAGTGAGGCACGTCTTGTATTTGCTTACTATCTACGACCATAGGAAGTAATCATAGCTTTTAATTGCGGACCAGTATACAAATTGTAGCATTGCTGGGTCTTAGGGATTATAAATCTACCCGAGGAACATTGAAACTAACCAGAGAGACATTATAGACTTTTGGATTTAACCAAATTGGCATCTGGTATATATTAAAGGGATATTATAATTTCTGTAGTTTAAGTCCGTGGGCTGAGTAAATAAAACTTACTCTTCCAATGTAATAAGTATAAAAAACTAGTAATTTTAATAATGTTACCTGAAATTATAATAGTCCTTGCAATAGTGCATCAATCTCGAATGAAAGCGATTGAAAGTATTTATCTGTACTTCTCTATCGTATTTCAAGTAGCTTCCTAATGTTCCATCAAATGCCTCCGGCAACTGAAAAAACGTGAACCCATTTGAAGGCTACTAGTTTTATTTATTGTCGCCAAGTACACATAAGACATACTATTACATACCACAATCACAGTTTTAAATTCAATACCCGTTAAATTATTTCTATCAGAATAGCTATTTCTGGGATCGATCCATAAAAATTTCTTCTCGTCATTGTAAAATCCAACTTCTGTGGTTCGTAGCTTGCCACCTCTTTCAAAGGCAGGGTTGTACACATCATGTATGGTATACTTAAAGCTTTTTATTGCAGTTACTAGATTAAGATAGGCTACCTTTAAATCGCAATTAACATTCAAATTCAAAGAATTGAACAGATAGTCATACTTGCTGGACTTTAACTGTATTAGCCAGAAATGTCTTGAATCAAAAACATTAGATTTTCTAATCTGCGGATAAGAAATGTGTGAAAATTTCAAAAGTGTTTAAATACTGACTTCCTACCTTTCTGAAAAAAATACTGGTCTGTTTACAATCTCCATCAATTACTACTGCTAGTTTATTACCATTATTATAAAGGGCATCCAAATTGGTGATTAGTTGCATATTCTTGATCAGAATTAAATTGTCTAGCGATTGTGTTAACGATTTTGAAATTTCCACTTGTGCTGCAAACAGGAATAATTTTTATAACTACATTACATAGCACGGTTGTGAACTAGCAAACCGCTTTTTCTACTGCACGTCAAAACTACGCTATGCTGCAATTTTCTCAGCTTGAAAAAACTTA